ATATATATATATATATATATATAACGTGGTAGCTGTATTGTTTTCCAATTTGCGTCCCTCGTTGTGCCTTCAACTGTGATCTGGATCTTTTCGCCTGTCATGCGTTTCGTTGTGCTGGGGTGCCCGGCACACACCCCTGTATGCCCATGGTCGTATGTGTGGCTGTGGGAGCGGTGCATCTGTGATGCATGGTTCTAGTCTTTTCTTGTGTTTGTACGTCCTCTTTTCCTCCTCGTCTTCGCTCCGTGCTCTGGAGGGTGTGGGCCTATGCTGCAGGCATGCGGCGTCACGGCGTTTCTCGTGCCGGTGGGGCGGGCCGCGACGGCGCGCATCAAGCAGCGGCCGGAAGACTTCGTTGTGGTCGAGGAGGATCCCGCGGGTGCACGTACTGATGCAGTAGACTACCAGCTGCCTGTCCCACCCGCCCCCGCTGCGGTGAGCACGACGTCACCGCGTCACACTAGTGAAGGCGCGGTTGCTCCTTCCACCTCCACCTCTGCCGTTGCTGCTGATAATAACGACGGCGACGACGATACCACAGCGGTGAGTGCTGAGTGTTTGCTGACAGATGCGACACGAGAGGCCCTGCATGCGGTGTTTGGCAGCAAACATGACGCCATCACGCAGTATGACCCAGCAGCTGCTTCTACTGCTGCTGCTGCTGCTGCTGTTGGCAGAGAGATCCCTCTCGTTACGGAAGAGCACATTGTTGGTGTATTCAACCGCAGGGAGGACCGTCAGCGGCTGCACCACGCTCTGAAGGCCGCCTTTCCACACCTGCGTAGTGAAACGCGCCGTGCTTCGCTTCCCCAAGTCCCTGCGGATGCGCAGAACTACCACGTGGTCGTCAGGTACGATAACGACTACCTCCTCCTTGCGCACCTGCTCGGCGAGCATGCTGCCGATGCGGTGGAGGCGTGGCGCAGCGCGGAGTCACGCAGCGACTCGTTCCTCATTACAGCGGCCTTTCCATTGGAGGCGACGAAGGACACGCGTCGTGCCTTCCACGAGATGATGGCACGGCGCTACCCGGACGTGACGTGTCGTGTTGCAAACGGCAAAGTGACGCTTGGGGCCTCCACGAGGCAGCGAGGAAAGCGATCACGTGGTGGCGACTGGGACAGAGGTGGTGGCGGTGGTGGTGGTGGTAGCGCTGCTGCTGCTTCTGCTGCTGCGGGTGTCTTTACGCATCTCCTTGTGCGCAAGCGCAACCTTGATATGATGGAGCTGCGGATTTTGCTGGCGGAGCACTTCCGCGTCCCCGACGCCGCCGTGTGCACGGCTGGACTAAAGGACAAGTGCGCCGTGACGTATCAACGATGCTCTGTTCCCGGCAAGTGGCAGCAAGAAGAGCAACAACAACAACAAGGAGACGTAATGCTCCGTTTGCCATGGCCAAGCGACCCTTCAAGCTATGCAGAAATTCTGCAGATGTCTGCTCCGTTTCCAGCCCCTGTGGTAATTGGCCAGCTTCGCGGGAACTGGTTCCGCATCCACCTCACTGACGTGCGCGGGATAACACGCGCTGAGCTTGCCGGGCGTGTGCGGCGCGTGGCGTCGGATGGGTTTCTAAATTACTTTGGCCAGCAGCGCTTCAGTGAACATACCCGAAGCGTGAAGGACCACGTTGGTGTGCACTTGCTGGCGGGGCGGTGGGCCGACGCCGTGCGCTGCGCGCTGGGTGGTGTGCCAGAGCTTTACGCGTCGTTCCCGGCGAAGATGGAGGTGCGCCACGTACCAACAGCTGACCGCGATGCTCAGTGCGTCGTGCAGGCCCTGCGGCGCGTGTACCGCACGCGCTACGCCTGCCTGCCGCAGCCTCTATCGGCGGATGACGTCGCTGGCGGCACGACGCGCTGGCAGCAGCTGTGCCACGAGGCTCTAATGGCAGTGCCCTTCGCTATCCGCGTCTTGTGGCTGCATGGGGCACAGAGCCTCATCTTCAACATGACACTGTCAAAGCTGCATCACGCGGGCGGCGCAATGGTGACGGTGGGTACGCTGCCGCTGGTGGGCCACCAAGTGACGGTGGACGACGCCGTGCGGCCGATGCTCGAGCAGACATTGGCAGAACTATGCCTCAGCAACACTGATGTGCTGCTGCAGCAGAGGAAGGTGCTCGGCGTTCCGCTTCCAGGTGCCATGCGACAGAGGGTTGTGCAGCCTGTGGAGTGCAATCTGGTATTTGACGATAATAATGCAGAGGAGGAGGGGCCAAAGGGGGAGGACGGCTTTAAAGCAGATCTATCCTTTTTCCTTCCGCCGTCTGGCTACGCAACTATCTTTCTGCGGGAGGTCCTTGGCTGTGACCAATGGTGGTGAGGCCGTATGATTGTTGGTGTTGGTGGCGCCTGTCGTGTTGTGGGGCTCTGCATTCCGTCGGATAAGTGCCTGGTGGTGGCGGATCGTGGGGGATGGGTGGGGTGACTGATGCTTCTTGTTCTTGTTCTCTTTTTCTCCACTGCGTGTGTCTTTTTTTTTTTTTTTGTGCGCTGCCGATGAGATTTGTTGGCTTCTGGCGGGGGCAGCCAAGCAGAGGCGGAGAAACCCACACCGCAGAAGGAATCAAGGCGTAAAAACAAAACAAAACAAAAAAAAGAAAACAACGGAAAACTAAAAGGCGGAGGAGACAGCCGGCTGGTCAGCTGCTCCCCCCCTCTTTGACCCTCCTACATTTCTCTCAGAGCAGCACTTGTCTATCACAGCACCGCCGCGATGATGAGCACCAACGCCATGCACTCGGGGCTGTTCACGCTGCACTTCACCCCGATCTGCCCCGCGGCGGATGCGGCGAAGCCGACGGCGTCCGGCAGCAAACCGTCCGTCACGCCGCCACCACCGGCGGAGTTCAGTGACTGGCACGTTCTCCTACGCTTCGCCGTGGAGAATGAGGTGATTTCGGTGAAGCGACAGGGGAAGATATTTTCCATGGGCGACGATTGCAGTACGAACGATAACGGCGAGGAGGCAGTGGCCATCCCTGGCCTGGGCCGCATTCCGCGGCCGGTGAAGGACCGCCACGCAACGGCGGTGATGCGCTGCCACTGCCACTGGCAGCTCGCTGACACCTTCCGCTTTGACCTGCACTTCGAGCAGCTGGAAGGATCGGTGTTGGGCGCCAAGGAGGCGACGCTGTGCGACGTGACGGTGAACTGTGAGGGCAGCCACGCCTATGGGTGGTACATTGGCGAGGCAGTCGTGGCGGTAGGCGGCAAACCGCTCGCCCTCCCACGCCGCCTGCGCTTTCTGTTAGTTCCCTACACGGGCGCAGTCTGCGCCATGTGCCTCGACCCCGTCTACGCGCAGGGCTACACCTGCACTGAATGTGGTGTGGTGGAGTATTGCTCGCAGAAGTGCCAGGCAGCGCACATGAGTGGGGGCCACGGCTTGTTGTGTCAAACACTTCGACGCACCTACACGCAACGCTCAGGCAAGGTGGCGACGGAGACAGAGAAAGGTGTAGAACTGGTGGCGTGGTGGCGATGCTTAGAGGATGCATGCTATTCCATTCTCGTTGATTATCAGAATCCACTCGGACAACCCATCGAGTTCTTCGTATGCACACTGAAACCAGCGCAGGCGGAGGGCCTACGCTATCGTTACATTGTGAGAGAAGGCACCACACCCAAGGAGGTAAAACAGGAGGAGCTTGTGGAGTTTGCATGTACCGTGTTCCGCGTGGTAAGTGAGAATGCCATCAACGAAGGCTGTACATCGCTAGCAGCTGCGTGTCTGAACTATATCTTTGTATTCAGCGGACGTGTAGATGCTATTGTGGAGTCTCACGTTCTTTACTACTACAGCTACCTATGCGAAGATTTCGAGGGTACCATATGCTCAGTGGAGGAGTATGTGACGTATGCACGCCCAATGCATGAGCTTGGTGTAGCGCTGCTAGAATTCGCACTGAAGAGTCCAACGGCACTTCTCTTCTGGCAACGCATCAAGCTGGCGAAAAACGTCTTCATAAATCTATACAACGTTAACACAAGCTGTCAGTGCTCCGAAATAAAGGAACTCGTAAGGACGATACCTGCGCAACAGCGGGAGACGTTGCATCTGCTGTCCAAACTCTTTCTCATGATGGCCTCGCGGGCCCCCAAGAAGGAGGGCCAGCGCCTCCTCGAGCAGGCAGAAAAATGCCTGCGTGATTGCCTCCCCACAGAGGAAGCAGAGGACGACGCCGTCTATGCGGCAGAGCACGCGCAGAGTATGGTGGGCAAAGCGGAGGGGGCACGGATGCTCGATGACAATATGGAGGAGATGGAGCCTGCCTCCCTCGCCACGCTGTACTACCGGCTTTCGTTGCTGCTGCTGCTCTACGGCGACAAGAACAAGACACGTGAGGCGGAGGCACTCAAGGCACACGGCGACGCACTCATCGCCAAAGCAAAGGCGGTGGAAGCGAAGGAGAAAAATGCGTCATCATCATAACATAAGAAGTGCGAGAAATTCTCGGTTCCTCTTCTTAACTAATGCTCGGCACTGCACCAAAGCGTGCAGTGGGCAAGACAGAGAGTCAGTTGACCGTCTTCGGCTCTTAATTCCCTCACCTCACCGTTTTGGTGTTTTGGCTTGGTTGTGGCTTCTGCTGCTTCCGGAAGTGCGTTTGTTACACAAGTCCGCTGCCTTTTCTCATTCCCTTTCTTTTGTTCTTCATTTTTTTTTTTT